GCCTCCTCATCCTGAAGTTCTGGGTCCACTGTCGGTCCTCCCAGCGCTCCAGGACGATGCGGTCCCACCAGTCGGTGCTGGTGTCCAGACGCCAGACGCGGCGGGGGACGCCCGGGCCGGGGGGGCCCCGCCGCCGAAGGGAAGCACCGACACAGACGGGCGCAGAGACCAACGCTTTGCTGTCCCTCGGTGAGGTTGGCAAGGAAGCAGGAAAAGCTGAGAACCGGCTGTCAGGGGGGGTCCCTTTAAGCTCGAGCCTCAGATAGCTTCAGACAGCAGCCACACAAAGCATCTACGGACCTGATGCCCTGCCAGAACCGGTTTCAGCTGCCCTTAAATGCCCCCCTGCGTCCAATCAGTGTGGACGCGCTAGGTCGAATTAGCAGGGGGGTCCCTTTAAGCTCGAGCCTCAGATAGCCTCAGACAGCAGCCACACAAAGCAACTACTGACCTGATGCCCTGCCAGAACCGGTTTCAGCTGCCCTTAAATGCCCCCCTGCGTCCAATCAGTGTGGACGCGCTAGTTCGAATTAGCAAAACGCTAATTCGAACTAGTTTTTAGTTCTAGATGCGCTAGTTCGAATTAGCTTAGTTCGAATTAACTAATTCGAACTAAGTTAGTTCGAGTTAGCACTGTAGTGTAGACGTACCGAGAGAGTCACACCCAAAACTCCCATCCCAAGCTGGACATCAGTGCAGTCCCCAGGGAAACTGAGGCACACTTATAGTGTTACAAAGGAGCAGCACAAGACCGTAGCAATCATATACAACATAACAAAGCAAACAGAGTGAATACAGTCCCCACTTTGTCACTTATCTCCACTCTTCGAGATGTAACTGAGCAGGGTCACTTATCTAGTGACCTAGGAAAGTTCAGGCCCTCTCTCTACACCAGAGCATCAGCCACAGCTTGGCACTGTCCTTAACACAGAACCCATCCATGCCGTAGTCCTGCAGGAGCAGGCTTTGTCTCAGTATCTTGGAGCTGGGCCCTTTCGGTTATGGTGTAGTCCATGGAGGTGTTTGGTTGCTCCCAGCTCTGACAGGATCCAGCTCTATGGGGGGATCATTTTCTGGCAGCTGGACAATTAGCTGGGCTTTGTTGAACCCTCCGATCTTCATCTCTCTCTCCTTTCACAGCTCGACAATGTTCCTCTTAAAGAGAAGGATATCAGCCATCTCCCTGCTGTTCTTAAGGGCTTGCAGCCTCACAGGCCTATACTTGCAGCGCCCCACAATTGCCAGGAAGAACCCCTTCAGTGTGCCAGCATCCATGGGGTCACAACCCACCCCCAAGTGTTAGACCATAGGCCGCTCTGTCTCCTGGGACCACTTCCCACGGCCCACGGAGGAACCCGTCCTTGGGATGATACCCCTTCTTGAGGATCACACTTGGGTTTGACTATAGCCCCTACTCCACCGTGCCACTCCCCACCCCAGAATTTCAGAATGTCAGAATTTCACTGTTTTTGGTGAGAATTGGAAAACCAGAGAAGACAGATTTCCACTAATTTCTGCACAAAGGGCCCTGCCACAGTGGGGACAAGAGCCTAGCTAGTTGTACAGCTTGACCTTGAGTAGTCAAGTGTATGATTCTCTTGCCTGCATTTTTCAGCCGTCAGGGTCCACATGTGCCAAGTGCTGGACAAACACCAGAAAAACAGGGCCTCTCTGAATAGCTTATGATCTGAGAAGGCAAGTGGTATGTAGTGAGAGAGGGACACAGTCAGTGATGCACGATTGTGTATATAGTTGCAACTTTTTATACATCTCTGTCACCTCCCTGGCTCTCTGTAATTGCCTGATTCTGAGAGGTCTTATGGTAGGGGGTCAAATCTGATTTCCAAATAAGAGGTGTCTTTAAAAGTTCAAACCTGAGTTTTCACATTTCATTTAGATCAGGTGCCAGTTCCCATCTACTCCCAGGTTGAGGGACAAGGTGGTCCTTGGTATTGAGGAATGGGCTGTGTAGCCCTTCACCTCTAGGATCTTGGTTTCAGTTCAGACGCATGTTGGTGGTGACTGAAAACCATTTCCATGTGATGCCCATTTGGTGGTCCTTATGTGAAATGAATTGTAGGGGGTTGGGATCTGAATCCAGTTCTTAGCAGAACAGATGTCCTAGTCACAAAAGCCACTAGGATAATTGACGCTGATTGGCCCCCCAGAACTCCCTCTCCGCACTACAGCAGGTTTCTCCAGAGAAAAACCTTGGCTTGTCGGTTGAGGGAGTTTGCATGTTTTGGGGGGAGATTGTGTGGGGGATGCACATTGAGTCAATCTTCACCACTCCCAGTCTGGTACCACCATCAGTTGAAGAAATGAGTGAAGGAATGAGTGAGCTGTCTCATGACTAAACTGTCGTGGGGAGGAGGGTTTCTCTTTGCTCTGGTATTTTTAAAAGTGTGACTTGGGGGCGTTTTTCTGCAGAGATAGTGTTGCTTGAAACAGGTTCGTTTTGGCAAGTGTATTTTTAACATGACCGAAGAGGGAGTGTTTGTGTCATGCTGGCTTGTTGGCACTCAGGGCTCAGTTGTTGTTGGAACAGATGTACTTGGGTGATCCCCATCCTCCTGTGCTGGGACAAGGTGGGAGTTTCACTCTCTCCCCTCCCCCCATCATTCTGGTTGGACTGGCATCTGGTCTCTTCCTGCCCCAATCTGTTTTTCTGATTACCTCTCAGACCTTGCCAGACGCCTCTTCAAACTTGTTAATTTCTTGGCCTGACCCTAGTGATAGAGGAGAGCAGTGGCCTCCTTTAGACCATCCTTTCAGCAGATTAGTAATAATATTAAACCTTAGCTCTTCATCAGTCCATTTTACTTGTGCTCCCCTATTTAGGATCATTGCTATGCTGTCCCCAGAGGAGAGGGCCTTGTTCAAGGAGCGGATCCGATACCTGGACAAGAAGATCCAGCCCGGCCTGAAGAAGCTGCACTGGTCACTGAAAGGGGCTAGCACTGCCTTCATTGGTGAGTGCCGACTGCATGCCAGCAAGGTGAGCTTTCCTGCAGCCTCCACTGCCCCCCAAGCCTGAATAGCCAGTCCCAAAGTTCCATCCTTCCTACATGGAGATCTCAAGAAGCAGACGTGTAAGGGATCTCCAGCTGCTGGCATTCTGTTTATGTGCACACTGCTCACTCAGCTTAGTTTTGGGTGCAGTGGGGGAGATTCAGAACACAGGTGTTCTCTGCTTATTGCGCATCTATGAAGGTAAGGAGCAAAGAACCCAGCATGGCAAACAACAGCCTCTGGTTAGTGAGTGAAGAAGTAGAAACATGGAGCCCAGTTTGCACCCAGAATCGAGGTGGGGCGGCAAAGGGAGAGCCTCCCATCCCTTAGCCTCATGCCTGCCTTGCTCAAACAGAGCCGCAATTACTCAGTTTCACCTTTGGCAGACCCTAGGGCCCTGAACCTGCTTTGCTGCTGCTGACCCTCAGGTGCAGACTATTGTGAATGAATTCAAGGCAGCCACCCTTACCATCGCTCGCAGTGCCCAGCAGATCAGCGAGGCGCTGCTGGTGCGGATCACTGGCAAGCGGGTCTATAACGACCTGGAGTTTGAGGAGGACCAGAAGGAGCACCGTGCTTGGATGCAGCAGAAACTGATGGGTATCCATGAGGAGGTCATCACCATTATGTGTCAAACCTATGAAGTCTTCAAACATGATAGTGCCGAGGTAAAGAGAGGCCTGGGGCCTGACAGCTTCCAGTAAGCCTTGCTCTGTCTGCTATCAGGGACAAATCCCAGCATGCAGTGCTCTATTTGATTCTGTCAGGAGACCTCTGTGTTAAGGGCCTGTGTTCTGTACACATTTTAGATCTGCACTATGTGACAGAGACTCTCTGTCACCTGCAATGTCTTTAATTTCTCACTCAGCTGTCCCTGCCCACCCACGGGCTCACTGTCAGCAGATGGCAAAAGGGGCAGTTGCCCGAGGCCCAGTGATTTCAAAGGGCCCAGGACTCCTGGCCACTGCTGCTGCAACTGCGGTGGTGGTTGGAGTTCTGAGCCCTTTAAATTTAGCTTAGCATTTGTTGTCTTTTACCCTGGCTGTCTTTGCTCTGGTGTGCTGTGTTGTCTTTTACCTCCTGTGCTGCCTTTCTCATCTTAACTTGTTTCTCCCCTCAGGTGCAGCAGTACTGGATGGCCTACACTGTTAAGATGAACAGAATGATGGAGGAAGCCTTCAGGCTCAATGTCAAGTGGTCCCTGCTAGAACTCTCCAAGGCCATCAATGGGGATGGCAAGACCACTACTAACCCCCTGTTCAGGGTCAAGGTAATCCTGCAGGACAACTACCCGGCACCCTCTGCTCAGGTGAGCCCTTCTTCTTCAGCTTTTGTCAGTGCCTACAGGGCAGCTGAGCCCCACCGGATGGTCCCTGCCAGTGATTAGTGGCATGTCATGCAGGGATTGAAAATGATCCTAAGTCTGGGACTTGCTGCATTCAGTGCTGAAGTAGTGTCCCCCGCAAAGTACAGCCTGACTAAGGACTGGTGAGAGTGTTAAGAGCCAATATTCTGCATATAGAAATGAATGATGGAAGGCTGGGATTACAGCTGCTCAGTAGGGATGTTAGATATCGAGTAATTTAATAGGTGAGCAACCGCATGAATTCATAGTGGTTATTGACTATTCTATAGTCCCCAGGGGTGGGGCCGGCAGCCAGTGCAATCTGGCCCCACTCTTGGGAAACCCCCTGCTAGCCCACACTGCTGCAGAGTGTATCAGAGGCAGCAGAGTGGGGTGCCAGGTAGAAGCTGGTCTGCAAGGGGAGCCAGGTTAAAAAACAGCCCCCTGTGCAGACCAGCTGCCTGCTGCCCTGGT